GAACGCCCTGCGCGTCACATATGTGACGAACCACTTCCTGAACCCGTGCTATCTTTCGTACCCTTTTTGCTTGTATCATACCAACGCCATAAAAACCCCGTTTCGTTTTCTTGATTTTGGAAACCGCATTATTGACGCCCATCTTTCGGAAAGCTTTTTTTTTCGACTCCCGGGTTCTGCTTTTCCTTTCTGCAATTTGGGAAATACATAGGAAATTACGTGCGCCCTAGCGAGCGCACAGGGAATCGGGCTCGGCAGTTGGGAATTCCAGGATAAGCGGAACATCGACGTATCCTTTTCGTGTGTGTGAATGTTCCTGATCGCGTCGGGGAAAACTCTCGGAATTTTGTGCGAATACGAATAGGCATAGGATTTTCTTTTCCCGCGTCGCTCTTTCGCGTGCGGATATGGTGATTCCAATTTTGAATTAGGTTGTAACTGTTTCTGTGCCTTTTTCTCTCTTTTTTTGTTGACGGCGCCGCGTGTGCAAAGCTTTCTCCTCTTTATCCCCCGCATCGCCCCCTCCCACGCTCCYTTCCCCTTCTCCCTCCTCTTTTTCTCGCCCCGTAACTGTTTTCTTTCTCTCTCTCCCTCTCCCGCCTTATTCTCTGCGCGCCCCTTTTCCTTTCTTTATCATCTGAATCTTGGACCCGTCTTGCGCCACTTCTCGCGCCTTTTTCTCCCCTCACCCTCTGAGTCTGGCACACGACGCCCGATCGATCCATCGATAACTCTCGGGCGCCAATCAGGTGCGTGGATCAAAAGGACCCTCCTATTGCACGACGAATCTGATTGGTTGAACCTTGAGTTTCAAGGGATCAACATGGCGTTCGTAGAGCATTCTTCTCAAAGTCTTCTCCTCCTGCTTCTCCTCTTACACCTCAACTTTCTCGTCGCTTTCTCCCCCTTCTATCTCCCCTGTCGCAACTAGAAAACCCGCAAGCGCGTCCGCAAATCTCTCTTACGTTTTCGACTCTCAAGGCCGCTTCCGGGAAGCAGTGGCTAGGCAGAGTGTTTGATGCGAGTCAGAAAGTCCTGTCGGGCTGACGATAGGCTGACCTGTTGCGCGCTGGATCGCCACGACGGACTGTGGGATCTGGGCGAACCATGTCGAGTCTACGACAGCGGGGTGACGATCGCAGTGGTGGGAGTTAGCACGCGGCGGCCGGGATCGTCGATGTGGGTATGAGGATCGATGATTGGAGTTAAGTGAGGTATTGGCCTGGGGCCATATTGGAATTAACGGCGAATGCGCCTTTGTTGTTGCGGACCTTTCTCTCTGAACTTCTTTTCTTTGGGTTGTGTCATTTCCTATCCAGACTCTCTCCCCCCCCCCCCCCCCACCTTCCCCTTTCTCCTCTATCTTTGAATAATGATGTGTCTCGATGTTTCTCTCCCTCTCTCTCTTTCCCTCTTCTGGGTGAGCATGAATCTGTATGCTTTCCTTGCGTGCAAGAACTTCTTCCGGAACTTTTCCATTAGTTTCTTGGGTAATCCTCCTGCGCAAGGACCCCGTCTTCTTGTCTTATGAACGGTGGATGCGTGTGTACTGTGCAAACGATCCATCGTTTCCTGTGCATGACTCATGTTTCACATCTTCCACAGTGAATGAATGTATGAAAATGTGCATCTCTTTGGCATTGATTAGACGATTTTCGTCGGGATTTTGTTCGAGAATGCAAGAGTGTTTAGATCTGTAGCTCTGAGTGCCCTGCGCACGCCATCTGCCTTATGTTGTCCGACATCAGCAGCCGAACCACGAGGCGACCTCAAAAAACAAGGGGCTAGGGATCAACATCGCGCTGGCTAACTAAACCTGAGCCGCGGATCGGTCCCTTAAGTTACATGCATGATTAAGCTTGCGAGTGTTTTTCCTCTCCCTCGGGTAGAAAAGGATTGATTGAGGAATATTTCCTCTTCTTGATTGATATGTGGACTGACAAGTACCCTCCGATCGGGCGTCAGCCTCCCGTACCTCTCGTACCCACACGGCCTTTTCCCTACAACGAGGAAAGGACACGTGTATGTGAGTGGGACGTACGAGAAGCCGTTGCACAAATCAGCGGACGATACTACTTCCCTCCGGCTAATCGGTGTTCAGGGTTCGTAGAGGCTGGGTTTGTCATTATCGATACGCACTTCCCACCTTACTCGATATTGTTGCCATTCAACGAACTGATCGTCATTCCGTGGACGGCAGTGGCGCCTCATTGGCCTCGAACCTTGTGCACAGAGTGTCAGCGTTTCGATCGCTACGAAGCGAAGGGCTTCCACTACCGAATACGGAGTGAGGACGAGCATAAGGAAAGAGCCACACGTCTGCAACCCTCCTCATCAGACTCAGAACTGACCAACGAACGACGATGGGATTTGATATGAAAACGAGACACGCGAAGCGTGCCGAAGCCCTTCCGCTCTAAACGATGGGCCGTAGCACGGTGGGAAGCTCGACAATACTTTTTGGATTGAATTTGGATTTTTCTCTTTTCGCGCCGTGCCCGCGCGCGCATTTCGCGACGCGCGAAAGCAATCGACTTGCTTCATCAGACCAACACGGGGGATTTCAGTTCCATCTGTGTCCCCACACTCAATTTCCAAAAATCCTTGGCACACCCCATCTTGCTGTTTTTCTGGTCCTCTTTCCGCACGCCTAACACTCCGAACGAAAGACAGCACAGGGTGTGAGGTTGCGCGTCACACACCTGCTGGAGAACGGGTCCAGCGTCCCTCACAATATGAGAAGATAGCATAGGTCAATCTCTACATTGACTGTAGTGAGCATGTCCACCTCCTTCCAAGATTATCTTGAAAAAGCCAGATCTGCTGTAGTTAAAGTTGACCTCTTCACCCAAAAGGTGCGCCAGATGTTGTCTTTCTTATCTAGCAAAGGGGATTGGATAGAAATCCTGAATCTGGCCGTTTTTTAATGCAGAGATACAGAAAAGCAGTTCTGTCTCGATTTCCTGCTCCTGTCCTTAAACACGTCCAGATTCAAGCATTCAATCCGACGCTCATTGCTAATGGGACCATGGCCCAGAGGTGGTCTCAAAGTCTCTTTTCCATCATTTCATTTTCCAACGGAATTGTAAAAATTCATGCGTGAAGAAGACATCCTCCTTGTTATGAGTCCTGCCCCCCTTTTATCATTCCTTTAGCCCCTATAAAATAAGCTTATACCCCACTTTTCCCCGCGACTGATAAAGTTTCGTGTCGAGCAAGTTTCATAATAGGCCCCGGCCTTTCCGCCGCGGATGACTACCTCGCCGACGAGCAATTCACCCTTAGAGGCTTTGGCCATGGCCGTCCAAGAAGCTAGCGGGTCTGATCTAGACCACTCCTCCTCTAGTATAACTACATCTCTGGTCAGACCTACAAATACAATGTTCAGGGTCCCACTGGGCCCGCTTTCCAGCAGGTGTCGCTCCCCACCACCCATAGATGGAGCCTCCCCCGGAGTGGTACTGGTGTCTGCTTTTCTTTTTTTTTTTTTTTTTTTTTTTTTTTTTTTTTTTTTTTTGGGTGTCTGATCTTACCACCACCCTTGGCATCCATCCGGCTTGTTCAGAAAAGAAAGAAAAAAAAAGAAAAAAAGAAAAGAAAAAAAGGGTTGGAACACCCACCATACCCAGTCCCAGCGCCCAACTTACATCTCTACCCTGGAAAGGGCCTGTGCAAATTATGTGCATGTTGGGGACCAAGATGGCCCAAGGTTGGTACTGCCAAATTGCAGTCATACCCAACTGCCCGGAGGCTCAAATTATCCACATTGCCCTACACCCAATTGTGCCTGCCCTGTTTCCGGGCATGAGCATAATTTTGTGGCCCCCCAGCCAAGGGCCAGTGGGACCCCATATAGGTACAATTTGGCACAGGGGAAAAGTACAGGACAGGGTCTGGGTATAGATGTAAGTTGGGCGCTGGGACTGCAGGGAAATTCCCATCTCTAAATGGGGTAGATATGCATTTTTTCCAACAGAAAAAATAAAAAAAGTTGAAGTCATGGATCCCTTTTTTTTTTTTTTTTTTTTTTTTTAAGGGGTCCTTACTATCTGCCCTGAGGAATGACTACTGGGAGCATCGGGCCCTCACTCCATATTACTCACCGAATGTGCAAAATGAGAATGAATCTTTTGCTAGAACATGGGAAGATACAGGGTCTCGTTAGACACTCATAAAAGTGCCTGTTTTTAGGATTGCGTCTTGGTTGCACTCAATCCTAAATCCAATTTTGAGATAAAAAATGTGAAAACGGCATTAGGACAAGTCCCAACGGAGACCCGGACTGAGAAGAGAAGAGACAGCAGCCCCAGATAACAACAAGCAGCAAAAGGATGTGCAGTACTCTGATTACACTCTGTATATGGCACGCTGGACCCGTTTTCCAGCAGGTGATGCTCCCCACCAATAGATGGAGCCTCTTCCCGGGTGGTAGTGGTGTCTGCTCTTATCAGCACCACTAGCACCGGTGGGGGTATTAAAAAAGAAAAAAAAGAAAAAAAGGATTCCCCAGGAAAAATCGTCGTAAATTTTCCAGTAGCTCCTGACCTACTGAAAAATTTAGGATTCCCGCGTTTCACGGACTCGTTGCATCGCGCACATGGCACCGTCAACACGGAGTTGCTGGTGCAGAAGCGGTCCGCCGGGTCAGTGGTCGGACATCAGAGGTTTTCTGCGGGTCGACGCGGGCAACGGCCACAAACGGTAGCCGTTGGCGGGGATTGGATGGACATTGGCGACGCGGCTGCGTATACGCGTATGAAAACCGGCCGTGGGAGACCTTTTTTTTTTTTTTTTTTTTTTTTTTCCAAGAAACAGTCCGAACTAATGCTAGGGGTGCTGGTAAGAGCAGACACGACTAGCGCCGTCAGGAAGGCTCCATCTATTGGTGGGGAGCAGCACCTGCTGGAAATTGGGTCCAGCGTCCCTAAACATGGTAATCATTCAATTTTTCAAGCAAAAGTTTATGACGACTTGTAGTGTATGTGCGCAATCAGATGTATGATGATGACCAGCATTGATTGCCCTCGTAAGAGGGGATTAACTGCTCATAGGCCGTGCCTTCCTTACCCTACCATGCTCCACCCATCCACCGATAGGTAGACTGTTCATCAGCGAACAAGGGGGGGGGGGATCACAACAGAGTCAGAAACCACAATCATTTCCCGACAACCCCAACCCTAACCGTAATGACAAGTCTCCTCAGCAAACTATCCTGGGAAACAATCATCAAACATAGTATAGTAATTATCAAACACAAGCCAGGGATGTCAAAAACAGGAAAAAACCCTAAACATTCCCCCTGCCACCAGAGGGGCCACCACCCCTGCCTGATTGGAGTTGCGGACTGGACAACTCCACTCCCCGCCGACTAACCCACGCCCATCCGCTGCCAACCAACAACTCTGGGCATCCCCCTGCACCCGCGATCGATCTCCAAATTGTCCTTAACATCCTTGGCCTCATCGCCATAACCGTAGTTATTGTTGCTGTTAATCCTGTCGGTGCTATTGTTGCCAGCAGTGCCGCCGATCCCAATAGCGCCGTTATTATCGTCGATCTTTTGACAGTCAATTTCATCTCCACAGTTATTGTCGTCGATCCCTTTGCTGTCGATTTCGTCTCCGCAGTTGTCGTCAACAATAAAACTGTGGTTCATATTCTTGAGATGTTTGTTGATGTTGTTGTTGTTGTTGTTGAAGATGTTGAAGTTATTATTGTCGCTATTGTCGCCGTTTTCATTGATGTTCTCACCACCTCCAACGTCAATCCCTTTGCTAACGATGTCGTCTCCACAGTTGTCTTTCATGACACCAAGAAAGCTATAGTTGACAATCGTGAGGTTGTTGTTGTTGTTATTGTTGTTGTTGTTGATGATGTTTCTATCATTGTTATTGTTGACGTTGTCGTCGCTGTTGTTACCACCACCACCTCTGTCGATGATGTCGTTGTCGTTGCAGTTGTTACAATCGATGTTGATGCTGAAGCTGTTGTTGCCTCTGCTCTCTCCATTCATTGTCGCAGGCGACAATCTCGCCTCCAAGGCTGCACAGCGATCCTGGCCGCTCCTAAAGATGTCGTAGCACCTGTGCATGCGCGGGCCAGCTTGATGGCAATCCACAAAGTCATCAAGCGAAGGAGCCGGCCCCTCCTCCAACTCCCAAATGACTTCAAGCATACTCTGCATCATGTCCTCCAGCCATGGCTGTAGTGTGACTGTCCCCCCTGCAGCCCCTAACTGATGACCATGGCTCGAACACAAACTATCCACAACCTCCTGCAACCGGCGGCCGCCTCCTTCTATGGTCAGCAACCATTCAGCCGCACCACTTCGTAATTCTTCGTTAGAAACCATGTCGTCCAAAAAAAAACACGCCGTCAGATCCTGCAAATCAGACGCCTCGCACCGACGTACCGTCTCCTGGTGTATCCGGTGGGAAATCCACCATCGCCTGGACAGATTGACCAAGCTGACACCGCAATGGCCAAGAACAGCTATGGAGCCACAACTGTCCCAGTCCACAGAGAATGGCTGGGCCTCGCCAGCCGGTCCGTAGCACAGGTTAGCGCTAAGCGTCAGCGCGTCTAGACAGTCCCTCAGTTTGCATTTGTAGGACGAATCCTAAAAGATGATTTTTAGGGTTGCGTATAACGACGCCGCACAAGATCCTAAAAATCCTTTAGACGAGTCCTAAAAATTTTAGGATTCTTTTAGGAGTGTCTGACGAGACCCACACTGCCATATTTTGCTTTTTTGTGCATGTGGTGAGTAGTTGTGAGATGCCCTTACCTACCGTCTTCACCCCAATAGAATGGCCAGTCTAGAACGGCCGGTCGTTACCACTGCATCTGGACCGAAAGTTGTGCCGAATACAGCTATAATAATGAGTCAGACCTGGCTTTCTATTAGAGTGAAGACGGTAGCTTTGCTGCAAGACACGAGCAGGATCTGACCAGATCCTTCAATCCTCTTTTTTCCCCCATTCCATTTTTTATTTTTTTTTAATAATTACTCAATAAAAACCAACCTCCTATTGCTCCACCTCTCAAGTCTGCTCACACCAGGACTTTTCAACTTAGCTCTGGATGTGATAGGGGTCAGATTCTTCCACATATTGCAGTCAGGTACATTTAGGAAAGTGCTACCCGTAATGTGAGTATGCCCTCAGCGTGATTGGCTGTCCAACAGTTATTCTGAGTTTTGAAGTTTAAATTAATTCTGAGTTTAGAACTTTAAATTACCCGAGCATGGTCCCACTAGCAACGCGATAGGATAGAAATGAGTTTGTGGGACAGTTGAGTGACCCAAATCCTGCAGTGCAGTACTCGTGATCCCACGGTCAGTATTTTACATGTATTGCCCGAAAAAGTAAGGAGATCTTTGTTCCCCTCCTCCTCTCCTTAACACTGGGCATGCCCATGCAAAGAAAGCTTCCCGGCCGAATCTTTTCAATAGGCTGGGGGTGTGGCCAGCCCCAAAAGAGGGTGGGGTGGGCCATAGGCCCACTGGATAGAAGATTTTCAGTATTTTACTTGCTGTTGGGCAATTATCTCATTGGGTGGAGCCGTCCTTCAATCCCCGAGTATATGGAGGGTGTCAAGATCACTGCTGACAGAAGTAGAGTTTACTCCAGAAAAAAAGTGGCAGTTGCTTGTTCACTGTTGTTGCAACCACCAGCATCAGATCATCTGTGATCTGATGGCTGGGAAGCACTCTGCTGTGATTTCCGGTGGCAGGTCTCTGTTTCTGTTTTGTTTTTTTTTGCCTTTCTCCTGTTTTCTCAGCCCAGAAATTCGTAATGAACCTGTCACCCCGCTGCCACCCAGTTTCACACTGGATAGGCCACACTCCTATCCGACTGCTAATGGGACCATGCTCCCGCACCGTCTCACCGAAGACAACCCAGCCAACCGAAAAAAAAAAAAAAAAACACTACTCATGGAAAAGCATCTGAGATCCAGCGGCCTAGCTCAGTTGGTAAAGGCACGCAAGTGGCATTCAGGAGGTCTTGCGTTTAATCCCCATTGGCCTCATGCACCTTCCTGGGCAAGCTTGGCGCCCGGCAGCTAGAGATATGCCGTTGGTACCCCAAAGTGGCATTGAGCAGAGACTGCTGATGTTCATAGGGGGAGGGGACCGGAAGGGAGGCACAGTAACTGGCCCATTGAAGAACCTCGGTCCTGATGCTAAGAAACAGAAAAAAAAAAGCATCTGAAGCTCTCTTGAGTTTGTGAATGGCTAATAGTTGATACTTTGAATTGGTACTGGTTTGATTGGATAATTGGCCGCTGGTGATTAACTCTAATTTGGGTTCTGCTGGTCTGTGCTGGTTGGGCATCTCTTCAGTTAAACCACCAGTGCTTGGCCCAGCTATGCAGTCCGAGCCTGGGCCGACCGGTATGCGAACTACTGGCTCTTCACGTCCCAGGCCTCCTTCTAGAAGAAAACGGGAACAAAGAAAATAAAAAGATAGAACAAGCAAAAGAAAAAAAAACAACACTTGTGTTTCTGTCGCCGCAACTTGCTCTCTCTCTCTCTCTCTCTCTCTCTCTCTCTCTCTCTCTCTCTCTCTCTCTCTCT